TTGTTAAGGGATTAACTGTATAAAGTTTGATTTACATTAAGTAATTCAATAATCATAAAATGCTTATCCACAATCCCGCCTCGCGAGATTCGAACCCAAGACCTATCAGTCTCGCACGCGAACGCTTCCAGGTTTTCCATGGCGGTCTAGTTTTAAACGACTCATGATCTCAACTATTGAAATTACTATAATATCCACAAAAAAACCCACTTCTGGTTGTTATATCGTAATGAACACATAAGTACGGGTAACTTCCGCAACTGTTATTCTATATATATCCTTTTTCTTTAACTAATGAGTAATTAGACTGTGTATATCTATATTCATCTTATTATAAGCTTCATTATGACCTATGGATTATTATCATACGAATTACTGTACCTAAATTATACTCAGTTTATTGATTATTATCTTCCACGTTTACAGCCACATTTTGGCTTGATCTCGTACAAATATTATTTTCTATTTTATGATGTGATGCGGCCTCTCTGTATAGTATATAAACCGTGTATGCTTGAAACAAATGATTCGCATAGCAGAAGCTGTCATTGGTGTTCTGGACACAATTAGAAGGACTAGGCAGACAAAAGACCGATAAGGACGCTAGACTTCTCATACCGGTCGAAGTCATTGGTTGGCACAGTACAAAGATTGGAAAAGTCGAATTCCGATTGACGGATAAATCACGTGACAATAGCCGGTCATAAAATCATAACACTGGTACCAATTTCTAAAAATGACAAATCTTTTATGTATCCTAAGTAACTGAACATTGATCATTTTCAATCATACATATATAAACAAAATATATACCAGTGTGTATTTGTAAGCTCACCCCTATATTACTTCATTTGACATATCCATACATAACTATTCTAGAAAATGTATATGCATAGTGAAATAGAAAAGTATAATTTCAGCTTCATAAGAAAAAAATAATAAATAAAGATTGATTCATTTCACTGATCACTTACAGTAAAAATAAACTTGACTACTTAAAATATGTATTTCTACATATTCAATAGAAGTTATAATTTAGAAAACCTAATGAATCTGAGGAGTCCCACAATAGGACGAAACAGCCGTCCAGTGCTCTCAGGTTTCCCATAGTGGTTTAGCTTCAATTGACTCATGATCTCAACTCTATAAAAATTATTACAATTGTTAAGTTCGACTTGTGCTTTTTCGTCTACACAAATGAAACTCTAATTGACCTTAGAAGAATATTTACACTAGATAACCTCCCAGTGTTTATTCTATAGGACTTTAACACAACTCAGATCAAGAATGCGTGACTAGTCTGACTGGAACGTAAGTATATTTCCACACCAAAAACCATTAACAGTCACAATAATAATAAGGATGAGAGAATATATAAATCACGTGTAACACCTGTTAGACTATCTACTCGTTTGACTAAACAAATAATCAGTCATTATCTTTCTCACCCATATATGACGCTTAATTTGATCTGAATCGTGGTTATAAAAACCTTAAATGCTAGAAAGTTATCCTGGATCGTGTAAAATTCAGGTGAATAACTCTTTCTCTATTCCTAAATTTTTAAATTATGAGTTAAAATTAGCTAGTTTTCCTTACAATGTTATTGGATATAGTTTCCTTAATGTATTTCCGTGAGTCATGGATCGTGGATGCGCACTGCTGAGCACTACCATACTAAGACGAAACGTACGTCTAGTGCTTTCAGGTTTTCAATAGTGGTCTAACGTTGATCAATTCATGATCTCAATCAATACTCAACAATCTCCACAATCCTATACTGATAATTTCTACTTTTACTGATTCATTAGTAATTAAATTTCTAGTATGATTATCTTTTCTAATCATTGATTTATGTTAAACAACAAAATAATTATTTTTTCATCGGGCTCCATTAAATAAAATCAATATTTTGAGTATTTAATTATCTACTGTTTATTGTTCTTTGGTTCCATGTCCCATATTTATTGTTTACAATATTTTAGTCATATTTCCTGATCATATATTTATGGATTATAACTATAAACTGTTCTCTCTGTATGTGTGCATTATGTGGATTCAAGGTAATATATATTTACCATATAGGTCAATTTTATGTTTAAATAAACCATTGAATAAGGTAATTCGATTTATTGAAGATTTACTATGGTTTGAAGTTAACTGTTATCACAAACAGATCTTTAGGTCAGTAAAGGATTGTGGAAATTCTTGAACATCATCGAAACCATGAACCGATCTAAAGGTTAGGCATTCATATGTGAAACAGAGGGTCCTGAGTTCGATTGCTTCATGCGGGGTCGTGAATGTTCACTGACAAAGAGTCTAGTATTAGAACAAAACGCCCATTCAGTACTTACAGGTTTTAAATGGTTGTTTAACTTAGATCAGTTCATGATTTTGATGATTTACAGATGTTGTATCTAGTAACTAACTTGGAAATGAATTTGGTGATGTACTCATTAGAAGTCCTAATGTAGATTGATTAGGAAATCAGTAATGAACTAATCACTAAACATAAAAATTAGTTGAATATTATTCTATAATACGAATAGACTGAATTATTCAACTTCAGTTCACTGGTTGGATCATATATGATTCACAGTGTAATCCATGGAACATGAATTAGATTATAAGTGTCGGTAGTTAGTAAATCTTTGCATAAAGGAAAATATTCATGTTTCCTAATTTTAAACAGCACTCCAAAACCAAAAATGGTAAAACCATGGTGGAATTCCATTTATTGTTCTATTTATATTAATTTACGTCATGGTTAGCATTACGAAATGACCAAAGTCAGACCACTCTTAAAAATGAAGAAGCATTGGATAGATTTTTCATTCTCCTAAGAGACTCTTCATTTTTGTATGCCCACAACTAACCGAGATTCGAACCTAGGAAATCTAAAATCTAAAGAAAAACGCTTACTATTCATACCAGTGAGTTGACATTTATTGGTTTACACTACTAACTTCAATCAAATCGTAATATTGCACAATGAGCTTATGATGCCATACCATGGTGAAATAACTGTTCAGTGATTCTTGGTTTCGAATAGTTATCCATTCAAGGTTAATTGATGATGTAAACTATGAGACTCAATAACCTTCTCAAATCCATTACTCTAACTTATTTAATATTTTCATTTATCTTAATAGTTCACTTTCAATAAATGTAAAATTAGTTGTAGACATAACTAAAAGTGTTTTAAGCATTTTTTTTCAAGTATATTAATGGTATTTATGGGTAAAAAGAAAGAATGAATCATAATAAGTGATCACAAGGCAAGCCCCCACATGGGATCCTGAAGGCGAAAGGAAAAGAGGAAGACCAAAGAACACATTACGCCGAGAAATGGAGACTGAAACCAGAAGAATGAACAAAAATTGGATAGAACTAGAGAAGAAGGCCCAAGACAGAGTCAGTTGGAGAATGCTGGTCGGTGGCCTATGCCTCATTGGAAGTAACAGGCGCAAGCAAGTAAGTAGTAATAAGTGATAAATATTCAGTGTTATTAAGTATGTTATTATTATTAGCATTATTCAATATTATATTTTTGGTACAATATAGAATTCTCAGCACAAAGTACTTCAACAAGTTTCCGTTTCTTACTTCTTCGTCCTTCCTGACGGTAAATATTAAGTGACCGCCAGTTAGACGTTAGCAGCCTAGTCGATGGACATCGGAATAATGTACATTCTTCTGGCTGCACATTGCCAGCAACCACAATATCTCTGATTAGGCCTTCTGTAACCTTTACAGCGGAAGGTCTTACACTTTTCGGAAATGCACCTGAATAGGTTGTGCGATTAATAGCCATAATGATGTATTAAAACAAACGAAATTAGATAACTTGTTGAAATATCTAGATGACATGAACAGGTAGCCCAGATGTTTAAACATGCCAACTGGGTATGTTGTTTTAGCTCTGTCAAAAGAACTCGACAACTTTCTTTGGTTGACAAGGTGTGGTGTGGTCTACTTATATCCATATAAGTAGTATATGGTGTGGGTCACGCATAGAATGTATTTTGGCAGAAGACCGATTAGCAAAGAACTGAAATGAAGCGCAATCGTTTGGAAAATGAATGAGCAATGGAATAAGAGAAGAAACAGTGAACATTGAAACAATTGGTTGTTAATTTGCAAATTGACTGTTCATTGTTTGGTTATCAGAATTTACTGAGATAGTCTGTAATCTTTGCTTATATACATTCGATTGTCCGCGACTAGTGTTCTGTTCACTACAAAGGTAAATTCGATTTGTGTACATAAAATGTTACTTGTACAAGATTTCATTCTTCGATTTGTTTCAGCCAAGTAATGTAATTAATAGAACATTCTTGTGCACATATTAATGATTAAAATTGGTCTACTATCGAATAATATCTATTAATTATTGTGATACCTAAAGTAATCACAATACAATTTATGTATATTACATCTCGTGCTTCCAGGTTTTCAATAGTGATCTAACATTGATCAATTCATGATCTCAATCAAAATCTCAACAAACTCCACATATTCACACTGATAATTATCATGTGCTCATTAGTGACTAGCTTTGAGAGGTAGTCCTTCGAGTTCTAATGAGAAGCTGTGACTAGTGGAGTTAATCTGTGTCAGGTAGAGATCAGTATCTATCTCAGATAATGAAAGATCCGAAATTTATAAATTTCTTGTGAAGTTCGATTTCCTTTTTATTTCACTAATTTATAATTTATCAAATCCTTTCTTCATATCCTAATTTATTACCACTTATACTACCACTACTATACCTAGATTTCCTCTGATGATTTCATCTCTCTCCCTATCTCTCTCCACTGATAGAGTATTACAACGTGAACTGATCTAAACATGTCCCAAGTATTAAGTTGCATACGACTAACTGACTGACTTACCAACCTTAGTTTTAAATCTTATCCTCCATTTCAACTATTAGTCATATAAGTTAATAGGTAATAAACATATATATGTATATATATAATTTATAAATAACTTACTATAAATCCACGATACCATTGTTTAATTTGTTTTTTTGTAAAATTTGTATTTGTTCTTAAAAATTCTAAATCTTCTTTTGGTAATTTTTTTCTAGATCCTAATATATTACCCATTTTCTTTTATTATTTTTTTCTTTTTTTTTTTTTGTTTCTTTATTTTATCAATTGCATTTAATCAATATATTGATATATTGAAATCTAAAATGATAAAAGAAAAAAAGAAAATCAAGTTTCCTAAGAGTTCATTAGAATTGTACAGATAGATCTATTAAATTCACTTGATGTTCTTTACTTGTATCTTTCCATTGTTATTAAGGATTGCAATTCGTCAATCTCTTATTGGCATATATGTATACTGTACGAATTTCTGCCTCGATATTGCCTGAAGTCACAAGCTTTATAAACAAAGACGGATAGTGGTTAGCAGTGGAATCCAGGACGCGTGTTTCATTCTATTTTGAACTCGTCACCTGGATGAACATACATCTCAGTACGGTACTGGGTTCGAGTCTCGCGAGGTGGGATCGTGGATGCGAACTGCTGAGGATTCCCACAATAGGATGAAAAGGTCATCCAGTGCTTCCAGGTTTTCCATGATGGTCTAGCTTCAATTGACTCACGATTTCAACTATATAAAAATACTTTAGTTCCCACAAAAACTCGCTTACATAAATAAGTGTTGTGTGTGGATTCAAACTCTATTAATGTTATATGATGCAATTCTAGTCTTACTAATTTTATATATCATACTGGGTAATAACTTTCTAAACATTCAACATATTTCATTCACCATAATGGGGTGAATTCCTCAATTCCACTGACTCTACTCTTAACATTACTTGTAATTAATACTTATTGTTTATGATAATACATTGAGAAGATACAAAATATATCAAATATATCATTTTATTATTAAAACACAATGATACTAGGGGGCACCATATACAAATGCGCCACACAAATCTCATTTGATTTGTGTGGGGGCTTGGATACTACCCTAGTGCCCAGACCGAGGCAGGTGGTTTTCTTAGGGGACCACAACCGGAGACTTTGACCTAAAGGTCTGATCAATAAGACAGTGGAGCATCGTGGTGAGATGCAGTCCCATGGTACCCAGTGACCAACGATTGATTCACATGCCATTTGTTTCCTCAGGATACTGGAGCTAGCCCATGTGCACCATTGTTTTGGAATCAGGGTTTTCCAACTCCCCTAAGAAGACTTTCCATATTCACCAGCCCGGTTAAAGCGCCAGACATTCGCTTTTCATCCTCTCAGTTTCGTAAACAACACCCCTGGTGTGAGAAGGTAGTGAGCAAGACTTCCTGGCAGAGGCTATATATGAGTGGCTATATGAGAGCATTTGGAGAGTGAGAGTTGACTCTCTCCACTCGCTGCCGTACCATGGCATTTGGGGGGTCCTCTAGGACGTTATACCATTTTTTTTCAAAAACATTTTATTGGTAACCTCAATCTAACAGTTTATTGTCTGCCAAATATTGTCCGGTTTGTTTCATATCAGATATTTGGAAGATCTTAAACTTATATAAAATATTCTCAGATTTCGATTCAATATATTTGGAAGATTATGGATTTGAGTAACGTTTGTAAAAAAAATTACTTCAAGACTCATCTGGCGGTCAACTAACCGCAATCTAAACAATATGAACAACCAAAAAATATGACATATAGAAGAACAAAATGATGAATTGTGGTGTTTAAGTCATTCCTAGCAAGGGTTTGTATTATCACATTGTTTAATTACAAAACTGTATGCTAACCAATATTGGCTGATATGTATGCAACCATTCAACATGTAAGTAACTGTCTGGAATTAGCAGTTCAGCGAATAACACTATCGTTAATTGAAGAAAAAGACACTAGATTTCGATTTCAGTGTAAATATCAGTAATAGAATTCATCATGTAAAGTTATTTAGTTCCGAAATAGGACAGAATGCATATCGTACATTCTAGTCACAATCCATCTGTCTTAATTACCGTTTAGAGCTTATAATTAGAAATTTAGGGGGGGGTATAAAAAGAATCCAACTTTTCATCTATAATCTTTACAAAGTTTATTCTTAGTAGAGAACATTCACGTTGTTTAGTCTACGAATTAACGAACAACACTTTTTCCTCTCAACCGTTTGGAAAAAAAAAGAATTCCTTGAACTTATCAAACTACAATCTAAGCCATCATTCAAACAAACAGTTCAACTGTATACATACAACAAAAAATGTTTGTTATATATATATATCAAAGAATGATACCCATGAAACAATTTTACATTCCATTTTTAGTTATAAATAGTCAGTGAACATGTAACATCATTGGTTACATTGGTCAAATATATCAAGTGGGTAAACCATCACTACAAAACATAACCATTGATCAATCACAGACCTTAACAAACAAATACCAAGTGTATTATTATTTTGTATTTATGTATAGTATAAAATGTCAGAATGAATATCAATCTTCTGATTGTCTATAAGTTAGTAGGATTATGTTTGGTTGTAGCCAATTCATAAATCTATATTTTTTTTCTGTAGAATGATATTTATACTTACATAAACAATATAATCATGATAAATAGTTGGAGATTAGTTTCAATACTTTCAAACCTTCATGTGTTGTATTATATTAATATTTATAACTATTTCATTCAGTTAAGCTTTTTGATTTAACCCTTTGGTGAAACTATTTAGTATATGAATATACTAATTATTCTTAATCAACAGATTTCTCTGGGCAAGAAGAAACTAACTTCCAGCTGAAGATGAAATTAGACAAAGACATTGGAAATGAACAGGACACACATTGAGAAAATCATCAAACTGTATCACGAGGCAAGCGTTAACTTGGAATCTTAAAGGGAAACGAAAAAGTGAAAGATCAAAGTATACACTTCCTCAAAAATTGCTAGCATACATGAAAAAGATTGCGCAGGACAGAGTTCGATGGAGAATGCTGGTGGTCGGCCTATGTTCCTTCACGAGGGATAATAGGCGTAAGTAAATAATTATTCCAAATGAAAAGTTTTCTTGATTTAGTCAGTTCGTTTTCTGTGTAGACGTCATTTGACTGAATAGCTCTTGAGATTAGAAATAATAAAATGGCTTACAAGACGGTGAGAAAACTATGAAATTCATGGAAGTATTACCACTGAACTATTCAGATGGTAAATCAAATATAATACAGGTTACTGTTTAATGATCAATTATCATAAATACCTCAGTTATAAAAGAGATCAGTCATGACTCTAATAATTTGTTGGTGCCATCTCAAAGTGTGGACAAAGAATAGGTAAAGAGTAACCGCTAGGATCTATTTGTGGACTGTTAATATATATATTCTTATTGTATAACCGTTAAGTAACTATATTATACGTATGTCCATATTCCTTTTATTATGAGCTTTTACTTGATCTATTGACTATTATTATAGGACGAAACGCGCGTCCTGGATTCCACTGCTAGCCACTATCCATCTTAGCACATATAGCTTGTGACTTCAAGCAATATCGAGGAAGTCTGCATAGGATACACATATGCCAATAAGAGATTGATCAATTGCAGTCCTAAAAAACAAAGGGAAGATACAAGTAAACACTACCAAGTGAAATAAATTTAATGATTAAGAGCTCGAATTTCAATTAGAATGTAGAAGATTCAACTCCACTGATTTTGATTTAAACGAATTGATAGTATCATTATACCTCAGATCAAAAAGTGTATCTAGAAATCCAATAGTATAAACTTATACTTGATAAATCAGTTGCTCTAATTATTCAGATATGAAGTAATATACTACTTAATTCGTGAACTATTTGATTGACATGATCTTCATTTTTCCTATATAATTGTCATCATTTTGGGATAGCATGGTATGTCACCTAGTTGATATGACATGATTTATGATGTGATTTATGGTGGTCTGTTTAAACATCTGGGCTACCTGTTCATGTCATCTAGATACTTCAACAGGTTATCTAATTTCGTTTGTTTTAATACATCATTATGGCTATTAATCGCACAACCTATTCAGGTGCATTTCTGAAAAGTGTAAGACCTTCCGCTGTAAAGGTTACAGAAGGCCTAATCAGAGATATTGTGGTTGCTGGCAATGTGCAGCCAGAAGAATGTACATTATTCAGATGTCGATTGCTGGGGTGCTAACTTCTAACTGGCAATCACTCAATATTTACCGTCAGGAAGGACGAAGAAGCAAGAAACGGAAACTTGTTGAAGTACTTTGTGCTGAGAATTCTATATTGTACCAAAAATATAATATTGAATAATGCTAATAATAATAATAATGTACATTGAAAAACATATAAATCAATACAAATGTAAAAAGAACTAGGTATATCTAACTTGTAATATGAATAAGAACAAAATAAATTAGAGATTAAATCAAATAAATTATATCTGCACTGTTGTTTATTTATTTATATTTATTTAAACATATAAACATTGGTACAAAAATGCACTAAATATATATGCGCAACACAAATCATTCGATTTGTATGAGGAATGGAATACCGTCCGAGTGCACAGACTGAAGCATGTGGTTTACTTAAGGGTTCACACCACGAGTTTTTCATCTGCACGTCCAATCTACAAGGCAGTGAAGAAACGTCAGGAGATGCGGTCCCATGGTAGCCGGTGACCAAATATAGATTCATTCGTTCCCTGAGGATACTGGAATCCATGTACATCACCAGTTCGGAATCAGGGTTTTCCAACTCCCCTAGATGGATCTTCCATATCTACCAACCCGGTTAAAGCACCGGACATTCGATTTTCGTCCTCTCAATTTCGTAAACAATAGTAATACCGTGAGCAAGCAGTGAGTAGGACTTCCGTTCGCAGTTCAAGGGTTGAAGATGTTGGAAGGTTAAGAAACTGCTTAAATATCACTATCGTCACTATCGTTCACAATACAAAATGCATCAAATATTAACTATCAATTATTACAACTCTGTATAAATATTTCAAAATAATAGACTAGAATACAGTAGACACCATTGAATGGCATTAATTACAATGATAATTATTTGTTGGAATGATTTAAATCAAACATTAAATAAATTTTTAATAAATAAAACTATTAATGTTATTTATCTTGAAATGCGAAACTTTTGATTCAAGTAGAATATTATCAGAAAGGGGGGTTTGTGGAGATTTTAGTAA